CCCTTTTTACTGTACTGTAATGTATATGTGACAAATAAAGCCTTCTTCTAAACATATACACAACATGAACCTATCCACTTAGCTTGTGGCTGTAGGTGGAGCTACAGGTATCCAGTCCTCCAAAGCTAGGGATAGCCTCCTTCTACTTATCCTCGGTGAGTGTGTTTCTGTACACCTCATTAGCCTCACTTTACTATATTAGATATTATTTACCATGTTGGTCGCTATGTTATGTCTTCACAAGCTTGCACTCTATAGTTTTATCCTTCAATCTTTGCTCTACCTGCTAGATCAGATCTGTCTGTTTTTCATTTCTAAACAAAGGCTGGACCACTGGCTGATGGATATCATGACTTTGGCCTATAGATGGGCTCGATGCCCAGCCTCTACTATGACATGCACTCTACAGGAGCATCCCATCTGTATAGGCATGATTTTTTAAAAAAAATTGCTCCACTATCCTTTGCAGAGAGTCTTTTCGTAGTTTATGATCCATATTATAAAGTACATCCACTTTAATGCAGTGCTTTCTGTTTCAGGTCTAGTCCATTACAGGGACAGTGTTGTTGGGCTGTTTTAATTGCATGCAGCCAAAGTGCTGTAAAATGAAAGATGACAGACTTTCAAAACAGGTTTTGTGATCACAATTAGACTACAAAGCACAAACCTTCTCTTTTCTACTTCAGAGGCAGAGTGGACATGCTAATTTTGGGGCCTGTTCCCTTAATTATTTCCTTGATGGAAGGTTGTTTGTTACACAGAATAAGGAGCAACACTTGCTTGCTCTTCCTTCACCAGGAGTACAATGAGCTGGGAAAACTTTGAGAACAATTTAGCATCTCTGTTTTGTGGTGCTCTTGTCAGAGGCGGTTGAACAAGCAAATTGCTTTCATTTAAGTTTTAAATAATTTCACATGGACGGGGGGAGAAAAGGCTACAGTGATATCCTTACATGTTTTCAGTTTAATGTTGCTCCTTTGTGAATCTAATCAAATAAATACCAGCTTGTGAATTTACAATTTCTAACAAACACTGAAGCAAATTAAATCATTAAGAATGCAGATTTGGGTTTGTATAATGAATCCCAAGGGAGGGGGTTTAAAGGTTTTGCGCTTAATTACACATTAAAACACGCTCAGCAATACGATGCCCTTTATAGGGACGTGTTTGCTGACTTCCCTTTCCCTAACCCCTTGGCGTTTTTTTTTTTTTTTTCTCATAATCAAATCATTAATTTGTCCTTCTTCGCCTCACAAATCCAAACAGCTTTAATTGACCTGTCTCCCAAGCTAAATTAAAAATAAGTTTATCCAGGCAAATCAAGGCCAGAGCATTTTGGATCAGAGGTTTATCTTATTCCACTGACTCACAAAACTTCCTTGATCGATTTTTTTTCCTATCCATGGCTCACTATTGCAAATATCTATAGTAGGGCTGTAACACAGTGACATCTGTTGAGTGCTCCAAATATCCGTACCTTATTTGGATTTAAACCTGAAGTGGGTGTGGCTTAAACTGGAAGGGATTTCTTTCTTGCTTGCTTGCTAGCTTGCTTGTAAATATGAGCCCTACACCCCCAGAAACACTGGAAAACTCTGCCCCAGAGGTAGAAATGCATTCTAGCTGTATGGATTCTGACTCTGACAGTTCCTCAACCTCAGCTACATCATTCGAGTTTGTAACTGGTCTCAACTAGAGATGTGCACCCAACTATTTTTTTTTTTTTTTTTTATCCTGCTTGTGCAGCATATTATTTTTACCTGTACCTGCCCACAATATATTCTAACAAATTTAGTTGGTTCTATTTCCCAAAACATAAACAAACTCATTTAAACCACCGAAACCCTGCAACCATTTTTTTTTTTTTTTTGCATTTCTCTGGATCCCAACCCTCATGTACACCTTTAGTTTCAACCAGATGTCCTGTGAACCTTTCTGACAGGCTTTCAACACATAAACATACACCTCCTATTTGTATCTGTTTAGTATACATTACCTGTTCAATCTGAATGATGTATTTGTTTTCAGTTACATCCCTAATCTTTAGAGTGGATAGGTATTTAGCAGAATTTCAGCTACACAGAGAGCGCATCATCCATTTACATTTATGGCATTTGGCAGATGCCCTTATCCAGAGCGACTTACATTTATCTCATTTACACAACTGAGCAGTTGAGGGTTAAGGGCCTTGCTCAAGGGCCCAGCAGTGGCAGCTTGGTGGTGCTGGGGATTGAACTCATGACCTTCCAATCAGTAGTCCAATGAGTGACCACTAAGCTACCACTGCCCTATACACATCGGTGTTAGATCACAGATCCGCAGATTTTTAGTCGTGGCCTAATGGTTAGAGAGTCGAACTTGTAACCCAAAGGTGAACCTGAAGATCGTGGATTCGAGTCTCAGGTCCAGCAGGGATTGTAGGTGGGGGGAGTGAATGACCAGCGCTCTCTTCCACCCTCAATACCACGACTGAGGTGAGTCCCTTGAGCAAGGCACCGATCCCCCAACTGCTCCCCGGCGCCGCAGCAAAAAAGGCTGCCCACTGCTGTGTGTGTGTGTTCACTACTGTGTGTGTGTTCACTACTGTGTGTGTGCACTTGGATGGGTTAAATGCAGAGCACAAATTCCGAGTAGGGGTCACCATACTTGGCTACACTTCACTTCACGTTTAAAATTTTGCTCCAGATTTTATTCCCTGCCCAAATGTAAGTAAAATTTTTAGAAAGAAAAAAAAAAAGAAAGTTGCTGCGCCTCCAATTTGCTTTAATAGACCGGTACCAAGGCATGATGTAAAATAACTCAATGACACGCCTGTGTGCTATATGCAAAACTTCTTCTCCCGTGCAAATATATTCACTGCACTTGAAGGTGTGCAGCACTTGTCCAAAAGAGCCAAACGACTGCTTCCCATTAGAGACTGAGAGATTTGTCATTATTTGGCCTCTGCTGCTCACGCTTCAAGTGCGCTGTTCAAGTGATTGGGCACGGACTCGCATGCAGACACCCATTTCTATTTCCCATTCTGACTGCCATTCTCTCTCCTCAAATAGTAATTTCATACATGGGACCACGCTTGTGCGTGCAAGTTTTTTTTTTTCCCTGCTGGTTTGCAAAGGCCAGTGAAGAATCGTGTTCCTGCCTTGACATGCTGGAAGGTGAGAAAGTACAAGAAAGCTGCCGTTTCCTCTCAACACCCTCGCTGACTTTTGATTAGTGCTGAAACAAGGCTTCTGAATTATTATCAAAAGCCAGGACACCTCCGGAGGTGAAAAGAAGACGGGGGGAAAAAGAGAATTGCTCTCTCTGTCTTTTTCTCTCACCCATGCTATGTCGTCTAGTTAAATTGAAATGTCTTCAGGTATAAGCAGCCATTAAATAAAAGGCAATTTGTTTCAGGATAAGTTGTGCTGTTGGGCATGGCTGAACATGCCCAGGTTGAAATCTTAAAATCTGTGTCTTATGAACATTTTAGTTAAATATATGCATTAGCATAATTAACTACAGTTGTCTTTAATATCATAATTGATTGATACTATTATTAAAATGTTACATTGCGGTGGCTGCTGGCAGCATCACGCTATACCCAGAAAAAAGACATAACAGGATATAATTCTAATTCAAAACTGTGACCGATTTATAATATAAAATTAGCTGAAAAAAAGGATTAGCTGTACTGCTCTACCTTCTTCTCCACCGAAACATATTTAACAATATGTGATGCGCTCACAATGCAGTTTTTTCGCGTCTGCCGTGGCAAAGCAGCAATGCGATCTCTATTTATTTCCCTGTTCTGCATGCCAGCTGAAAGAACTGTGGTAATTTGTCAGGGAATGAAGAGGGGGGAAAAATCACCTCTGTGTGTTTGTTGCCAGGAATGCTAATTAAAAAGGGACCGGCTGAAAGTTAGAATATTTATAGATAAGAAATTAAATTTCACAGTTCTTGAATAATGATAATTTGGGCTTTCTGCACAGACTTTTCGGTCAGGAAAAAAAGCAGTGTTTTGGCAACATTTCTGCTGAGTCGTGTCAAACCTTCGACCCACCCTCTGTTCACCATACAGGCAACAACCCTCCTTGTTTTTCCTCCTGCTTCGACAAGAGAATGTCAGCTACGCACTCTGGAAATGGAAAACGTCAGCAAAATCAAGGTTTGTAATGTATTATGAATCCTTTAGATAGTTGAAGCCTCCCAACCTCCACACAGCAGACCATATCCTGAATATAAGAACCAAACAAAAACATCCTAATAAGTATTTTAAGTATTTTTACCAAAAATATTTGCATCCACCAACAGCTGTAGCTCATTATACAAAGTCAATACTGAACACCGACACTCCCATGGTCCAGTTTAATGACTATAGGATTTTCAGGGCCAAATCTGGAGGTGACTTGTTTGACAAGCCTGATGGAACACTGGAACTGGCTTACAAAATCAGCAGACCTACATTCCATCAAATATTTGGGGGATTATTTGTTCCAGCAGGTGAAGCATCAAGATAGTCAACTCTAGCTGGATTGTCCAAACCAATCCAGTCAGTGAAACCAACCCAGACCCAGTCTTTCCCATGGAGCACAACCTGTCCATAGCACCTACCATTATAGATGGGTTACAGCCAAAAGAGTGTTAAATAAACAAACAAACAAGCAAACAAACAAACAAATAAATAGTATCAGGAATGAGTGTTAGCCAATGTGATACAGATTGCTATCACATGCAGCTTTCAAGGCTAGTTTAGACTAGAAGACTGTGCCTCGCCAATAGGTTTGATGAAGTTTCAGTTTCCATTCAGTAAAACTTACTGAATGTTTTTGTAACCAAATGTTGTTCAGATGGTTAGCTGGAATGAAGGCTAATGTGCAAAACCAGTAGCCGAGTCTTTTCAAACTGCACTTTGAGGACACTGCTAACTGCCCCATTCTGTATATATCTAACATGCCAGAGATTGTCTGTCATCGTCTTAAATACAAAGAGAAGGAACACCAATCTTTTCAATCCAG